TTCGCTGTAGCATAGGGCGTACGCGCGGTAATACGCCTTTATCGAACCCGCACGCGAATCGGCATCCTGGGGGGGCTGAGGTCCCAAGCGCGACCCGTCATCGGTCGACTAGGACGCATCTCACACACCACGCGCACTCCACTTTACGAATACACATACACACAAAACAACACATATACGAAACGACACAACACAAACAACGCGACAACGCTCCTAGCCCCTCGGTAGCCAACCCATAATTTTCCAAGGCGGAAATCGAATAGTGGTCGCGCGCGAGACTCAGTGTAAAACCGCGCGGACGCAGGGCTATCGCATATCGACTCGCAATGCAATTGTATGCAAGCAGTCGCAATAAAGGCGTTCTACGTGGTACCCATTCTCACGTGGTCCCTGTTAATCGCGAGGGCCGCGTTCGATACTCAAGTGTCGGCTGACACGCGCCTTGAGGGTTAATCTCTCGATGCTGGACAACCGTCATGCGCGGTTGAAGACCACACCCTCTTCTGCATCCTGTGCAGAGGGGTTGAGTAGACAGCTTTAAGCTGTCGTGGCGGTCGAACATCAAGGGGTTTGACTTTGATGGTTGTCACGGACAATAACGTCCAACTATAAAAACTCCAAAGAGCAAAAGATAAGGAATGGGTCGAAGGTTCCCTGCCTAGTAGACAAAATCATAGCCCTGGGGTACCCTCCCTTTTTCGCGCGGCGTTGGCGGCCTATAGCAATCTCAAAAACATTCGTCCATATGTGTCGGCCGCTTTGTAATCCCATAACCTTTTACACATTAGGGCGGTGAAACGTCGCGCGTGAGATTTTAATATAAAGTTACATAGTCGAGGGCCTACCTCATACCAACCCGCTATTCAGGCATACGCATGCAGTCGCGACGATGGCGTACTATGTAGTGCCCATAATCAAGCGGTCCCTCGTGGATCCGAGTACCGCTTATGACACTCAAGTGTCATACTGGAAGTGTCGTGAGGGCCTAACCCTTCACAACATTGCACGGCTGAAGGAATAGTCGTGCAGCCACCGTGGCACCTTCGGCTCTCGGCCTGAGTGTCTCGGTAGGCAAATCAAATAGGCTCTGCGCGAGGGAACCGCCCCCCCCCCCTCTTGCAGAGCCCAGGGATTCGGGAGTCCTGGACAAGGACCTCGAATCCCGGCCCAGGACCAAACGTCCGACTAAGAAAATCATAAAAAAGCAAGAAACTAAAATAGGAGGAGAGAATTTCCCTAAGCCCCTCAGTCTCGGCTTCTGAATAGGGTTTTTTGTATGTGACTCTTCAATCCATGCAAACATTTATCCCAAGTATACCTATGTATACATATATAAGGGTTAAGTATGTGACGATCACTTTTTCACGGTCTCACTGCGGTCTCTCACAATAATACGTATATGTGTGATTGCAGGCAACCAAATCCAGAATTTGATTCACAACAAATACCTGCAATTACATCAACGAACCAAATCAACAGCCCAAACACTACACGGAGTCAACCCCAACCACCTTCGACGCTTATACCCCTCGCTTTAGCCATGCAAGCCCCAAAACCTCCTATCCAACCAACCTTAATTAAATACTTAGCACCTTTGTAAAATGGTCATTCAATAAAAGTTTGGGTGAAACCTTTATAAAACAACGAAATCACCAGAGCTAAAGCCTTTTAGGTTGAGTGTTGAGGGAGAGTTAAAATTGAGTCGTAGACCGACGAATCGACAACCGACCTTTTATCCGTAATAACAGTAAGTGGTCCTTAAGAGATCAAGCTGGATCTAGCCCTGAACTTGGATCAAATGATCAAAAGGACCTGAAACACACAACAGACCAATCCCCAAGTTAAGATCATAATTGTATGGAGAATATAACTCCATAATACATGTTCACTCAAAATCTTCCTATAAGCTAAACTTAAGTCTACTTTTAAACCAAATGCTTAAGTTAAAGGTAGACCAACTACGGAATCTCCCCTATTCTGGGTGGATTGCCTGAATCGCCCCCTGTCAAAATATAGTCTATCTCCTTTAAACTAAGAAAATTTCGGCAGCGCTTCCCATAGGAAAAGTGTCTTTCAAGAATTTATATAAGCTCAAATATGAACACCGAAATAATCTCTAAGTCTGGAAAGTCAAATTGTGTCAGACTTTCTGAATTAGTAGAAATTAAGGCAGCACTCCCTTTAGAAATGAGACTTGCCAGATTTATACTATCCAGATATAAAGCAGAAAATAATCTCTAACTACTGGAAAGTCAAATTATCTCTAACTCTCTTAATTAGTAGAAATTTGGGCAGCACTCCCTTTAGAAAAGGAGACTTCCCAGATTTATACTAAGTCAGATATAAACTCGAACAACAGTTCGAGTTCAACTTTAGACTGAATTTAACTAACTCCTTTAATTTTGTAGAAAATTTCGGCAGCACTCCTTCTAGAAAAGTGCTATTCTAAAATTTATACAAGACTAAGTTCAGATTTTGAAAGTAACTTTGGCTCCTGAAGTAGCAAAAATTTGGACAGGACTCCCTTTAGAAAAGGAGACTTCCCAGATTTTAACTAAGCCAGATATATGGAAAGGACAAGTTGAACTCTGACAAGCCAAAAATTGACTAACTTCTTGGATTTGTTGAAATTTCGGCAGCTTCTTGTAAGAAAAGTTTCTTGTCAAGATTTATACAAAGCCAAGTATAAAAAAAGATCTCAAAAAATGCAGGAATTGACCTAAGTAAAAAAAAAGTTATTACAGAAAATGCAGGAATTGACACTAACTCCTATGACTCTAGCACGTGGCGAGCAACTAAAGTAACTACCTATAGAACTGAAATTCAAACAAACTAGTCATCTCATCCAGTCACATGCAAACCAAACCACGAATGCAAGTACTCTCACTACTCCAAGTTCATTCCATATAAATAACTCGTGAATCTTCAAGTTCTTGAATCCTTATACCTATCTTACATAAGACATAGAGTTGGACCATTCGCCATGGAAACAATGCCCAGCTTGTCTTGCACAACTACTTCTTTCTTCTTTTGGTCAGATGACTAGGCCATTCACCATGGAAACAATGCCTAGTCGCCTTGAGCTATTTAATATCCAGAGTTTTACTATTTCTCTGACTTTGTTGAAAAAGAAAAGACAAATATGGGCAAGGGACTGAACCATTCACAGTAGAAACAATGTTCAGCTTGCCCCAAACTAGTCAGATTTATACTTTGTATTTTCCCTTCTCTCTTCTTAATGATAAGACTTAACGCTGGACCATTCACAGTAGAAACTATGCCCAGCTGCCAGTTCACATGCAAATATACATAAAATACTTTAATTTATACTTAGTTTAAATTACGTGCGTGGTTTTCAGGCTAAACCATTCACCATGGAAACAATGCTTAGCCTTAGACAAAAAATCCTCCCTCATAATAAACAAGAATTTAAACCCCTTCAATCAAACAAACCTTCAGAGTTAACTAAGGTAGCCAGGCCATTCACGGTAGAAACAATGCCTGGTTCCCCAGAAAACAATTAAATAAACACAGCGACCAGGCCATTCACAGTAGAAATAATGCCTGGTCCTGCAGAAAACAGCCAAATAAACATAGCCCTGAGTCATTCACAGTAGAAACAATGCTCAGGCTTTGGTTGACCCGGTCAACGCATGCAGTCTACCTTCCTCCCACCTTCCCCCAGTTCATCCTTAGTCTGCTTTCAATCAGAACAA